GAAAAACCCCCCCCCCCCCCCCCCCCCCCCGCACCTATTAGCCCCTTCCTACCACTTTTGTCTATTTTTCCTAATTTACTTTACAATAATATCCCCTTAATTCCAATTTATGACCATACGGTAAATTATGAGTAATAATAATTGTTAAAGCTATTTATTATGAGAAAATTTTAGTAATTGATTCTTAAAATTTGAATGGTTCCACGTAAATTGAGATACGTAGAGTATATCATGAATGCAACCAATAAGTAGGATATTAAAATGATTGAGTGTAGGAGAATCTTATTCCCCTATTTTGAATGTGAAAGAAGATTATTTTCTATAGCTAGCCTTGATAATTTAAAATAAAAATAAAAAATAGATTTAAAAAATAATTTATCCATATATACTATATACTGTACAACATGTCATAAGAGAGAGAAAATAATCCATGCATTCTAAATGTTAGATATATATATACATGGACAACTACATACCTATAAGATTTTCCGTCTTTTGAATAATTTAATATTTACAATAAGAGTATTGTTTTCTTATAGTAAACCTCACCCTCTAAATCACTTTTTACTTATCCTTCCTTTGTCATATACATAAAAATGAAATGGATATTTGGTATATACTATAAGTAAAATTTTACTTCATTATTATAATATTCTATTGCATTTTTAATAAATTTATTAATAATGTAGACTCTCATTAGATCTCCTTTCTTCAAAAACTTGTACTTCATGTTTCATACAACTGACATAATCGAGTGAGAGACATATTTCTCCTTCTTCATTCTTCTTCCAATAAATTCAATAGGAGTGTTTTGGATTTGTTTGGATCGATTTTTAAATTGTTAAAGCCAAAATAAAATTAATTTGATCTGTTTTTTAATTATTAGATCAAATAAAATATAATACACGTTCATTAATTTATTTATTGTAGGTTTGAGTCAGTTTTTTTATTATTATTTGTCAACTTATATATCCTATATTATTATTATTATTATTATTATATAATGGTAACTATAATTTCTTTGAATTATGGAGAGATTTTCAGTTTATTTATCAACTTATAATCCTATTTATGACCAGACAATCTGAGGAACTTTAATTTATGGCAATTAGCTAAAATTATAAATTAAGTGGCTAATTTCTGGCAATTTGTTAGTGCGGATTTATTTTTGTAAATCACCTGTAGGTGAGACCTGAAAAATGGTTGGGCCTTGCTCAATTCTCAAAGTTAAAGCTAAAAACTCTTCCAAACCACCCATAAAGCCATGTATTAGTATTTAATTTTGTAGATTATGAAGGAGGAAAGATGTGATATCCTAATCCGATTATACCCAAATACAAACACCAGACTTACTTCCTTAAATAATTTATGCGCCGTTTATATATTTTTATTATTAGTTAATACAAGTTAATAACTATTGAGCCTCAAGCTTATATACATGGAAGAATATTCTATTCTATTAATTCATCTTTATTGAAGTAGTGTAAATTATTATTGCCATTACTCCGTCTACCTCTAAAGTTACACGGTCTATAGAAAATAATTACTACGTATTTAATTATTAAGCTAGTTAAGAGAGTACTAATATGAAAAGGAGATTGTAAATGTACTCAAAGGAGTCACGTGGGTTAAGAGTAAAAAAGATGTAAAGGTGAAAACCATTGTAGGGGAAAAGGTAGAAAAAATAAAGCTAACAATAGAAAGAAGTAAAAATATGCAAGTTGGCTAATCGTAAAGAAAGAGAGATTTCATGGCAGAGATGGTTTCAGTCCCTATTTTATCGTGAAAATAGAAATAGTCAGCAGATAAATGTAAAAGCCAATACGTTGACTTGCAAAAACCTCCATTTGCCGGTAATCTTACCTTTTTTTTTCTTGGTCCCCCTTATTTTTTAAGATATTCTCACCTCGGAAAAAGCTTCTGCACTCCAATAAAAGAGACTCACTGGGATTTCAGTTTCACATTAAAGTATTCTTGGTAGCATTTGTAGTGATCTTTTTGTGTTTACTGATTAACAAAAAGGAAAGAGAAAGCAACGTTTCATCCACAGCAAAAAGGAAGAAGAAACGATTAAGTTTCTATTTGTTTTTTTTGTCTTCTCCTTTATTATGTTTTTTCCTCCGTTTGCTTTGTTAATACCAAATCCAATTTCATAGACCCAACTTTTTTATTTCTTCTCTCCATTATTATTAAAATTATCATCATCACAGCAAGCAAGAAAAACAACAAAAAGCAGAAAAAGAATCAGAGCACTCACAATGGTTTTGGGATGGCGAAGAGCTTTTTGTACATCGATCCCCAGAGATCGAGATACTAAAGAAAAGCAAGACAACACAAACCCAACTCCAAGTCCAAGAATCAATTCCAAATTTGGGTTTTTCTCTAACCCTTCAACCCCACGCTTCCAGTCTCCCCCAGTTTCCAGTTCAATACTCCGTTGCCGGACCACTGCTACTGTTCAGGCGGCGTCAGCCCCTGGAAGTCCAAAGCTTCAATGCAAAACCAAAAACAGCCCCCGGTTTTTTAACCGCTCTACGCCATCTTCCCCACGTTCACCTTCTACTTTTTCGCTTCTCAAATCCAGCTTACGTTTTCCTAAGGTAACAATAACTGATTAATACTGTTCACTATTCTCTTCTTCTATCCTACACGTTTTTGTACAGTGGAATCCAATTATGTTTTTTTCTTTGTTCTTAACTTGCTCTTTTCCATGTTTAGCAGACTAAGTGCGGCACATGCTTACAGACGGTGAAGACTGGGCAAGGAACTGCTATTTTCACGGCTGAGTGCTCTCACAGTTTTCATTTCCCATGTATAGCAGCTCTTTTAAGGAAACAAACAGCCCTTGTGTGTCCTGTTTGCCACTCTGAATGGAAGGAGCTGCCTCTATTGTCGATACACGATACTCAAAAACCAGTAAAAGTTGAAGAGAAAACAATTAGAGAAGTATCTCCATCACCTAAAGCAAAAAGAGATGTCAAATTTACAACCGAAACCAACTTTCAGGGAAGGCCTATTTTGAAGGTATACAATGATGATGAGCCACTGATGTCTCCAACTTCTGTTGCTCGGTTCAATCCGATACCGGAATCCGATGAGTATGATGAAGAGAATGATAATGTGGTGGAAGAATTTCAAGGATTTTTCGTGGACGCAAACGTGAAGCCGGAGAAGGAAAGTTTGGTAAATTTTACCAACTTCGAGGCGAGGTTATTGCCTGAAGCAGCCGTTGTATCTGTTGGCCGGAGTTATGAAACGTATGTGATAATATTGAAACTTAAAGCTCCACCGGTGTTGACAAGGACAGCCCGAAGAGCACCTATTGATCTTGTTATGGTGCTTGATGTTAGTGGGAAAATGAAAGCTCAGGATATCCAAATGATGAAACGTGCCATGAGGTTAGTAATATCAACGCTATCCACATCCGATCGGCTTTCAATTGTGGCCTTCTCTACAACCTCCAAACGGCTTTTACCATTACGGAGAATGACAACAAGCGGAAAACGATCGGCACGTCGCATTGTTGATGCCATTGTTGCTCTAGATGGAACAGGAACCAGTGCAAGCGACGCTCTAAAAAAGGCTGCGAAAGTTCTAGAAGATCGCAGAGAGCGTAACCCCGTCGCTAGCATCATGCTCTTATCAGACTGTCCAAATGATCGTCTCACCACCACCATCTCCACCAATCAAAGGTATCAATCTACCATCGTTTCCACCTGCACGCGCTTCAACAACTCGGAGATTCCGGTACATTCTATCGGACTGAACCAATCCAACGATGATGTATTCAAAAAATTCATCGGAGGCATAATAAACGTCGTCGTTCAGGATCTCCGAGTTCAAGTGGGATTCGTTTCCGGTTCAGCGCCGGCGGAAGTAGCGGCGGTTTATTCATACACAAACCGGCCCGCTGCTCTAGGTTCCGGTTCTCTCCGACTCGGCGATTTCTACGCGGAGGAAGAAAGGGAATTGTTGGTGGAACTAAAAGTTCCCACGTCAGCAATTGGGACCCACCATGTATTGTCCGTTCGATGCTCTTACAAAGACCCATCAACTCAAGAGCTCGTATACTGTAAAGAACAAGCTCTTTTGGTCCCACGTCCCCACGCCGTTCGATCATCAACCCCTAATATCCAACGGCTCAGAGATCTTTTCATTTCGACTCGAGCCATGGCTGAGTCTAAGCGATTGATTGAACGAAACGACTTAACCGGCGCGCACCACATGTTATCCTCTGCTCGTGCTTTGTTAGTTCAGTCAAATTCCAGCTCAGCTGGTGAATTCGTTCATGGCTTAGAAACCGAGCTGTCTGAGCTTCATTACAGAAGGCAAAATCAAACTCAGCAGCCACATCGACGAAGAATAAACGTACAACAAAGAGAAGATGATAAAGCTGAGCCGCTTACACCTACATCGGCTTGGAGAGCCGCTGAACGGCTAGCTAAAGTGGCTATAATGAGAAAATCGTTGAATAGAGTCAGTGATTTACACGGCTTCGAAGATGCAAGATTTTAGTTTATTTTTATTTTCTTTTTAATATTGTAGAAATAGGTTAAAATATAGTAGTGCCTATCCATATGAAGAAGCAAAAAAAAAAAAACTTAAAAAACGACAAAGGGTACCCGACGGCTCGGCGCTTTCTGCAGAGGAAAACAACAGTTAGTGAAAGGGTAAAGTGGGTACCCTACATTGGGTGATTGTTTGATTAAGGCAGTTGGGGGTGGGGTTAAGAAGAGCTATGTGCTTTTGTCTTCTATTATCTCCCAAAAAAATTATAATCCTTTCTTAAATGTAGAGATTTTAATGATGATGTTTAAATGGAGATGAACAGAATAATCTTTCTTCAATTTGTTGTCAGTAATTGTCTCTCTTATATCTTTTGTTTGCTTCTCATAATATGTTTATTGCTTTTGGAAATTAATGCAGGATATGTTTGTTTACTACTTACTGGGCATAAATAACTACTAGGAAAAACAGCCCTATCCTATCCAAGGTTTGGTATCCCATGATGAATTGGTAAAACACTTCCTAACAAAGATGAATTCATATTTGGAGGAATTTGAATCTGAAACATCTGATTAAAAGATGAAAGAATATTTAGCACAAACTTGATTGGTAGCCCTATACACTTGAATTAATTCACCATTGAATAGTTTGATTTGCTAAGTTGTTTTAAGATGAATGAAACAATATAGCTGATGGTATTAGTCCAAAATAGAGACTAGAAAGGTGGGTGTTATTATATTAATAAAATAGAGTAGTAAATGATAAATGCAAAACAACTATTGTTGTACTTTAGTTGTGATGAAGGACAATATGTATTGATTGAAGTACACCAGCACGAGCCTGGTTGCTCATCAAATAATTCCAGAGAATACCTAAATCAAAACGATTCTCTAATGATCTTGGGGTCACCTCTGATGAATCATTGCACAAAAATCCAGACTAATTTAATGCCCAATAAATACAATTTCCTTCCTAGAGAATAATGCCAACTCCAAATTATTATCAAAAAAAATAAAAATGACATAATCTTATTTATAAAAAATCTCATCGACATACAAATGTTATGTTATTCTTACAAATAATTCTAGTCAAAGTGTGTCATATAAATAAAAATGGGACAAATACTACTCTTTCAATTCAGTTTATATGACTTTCTTTTTTTTCTAGTTAATTTAAAAAGGAATAATACATTTTTATATTAAGTAATAATTTAACTTAAAAATATTTATTTAACTTTAGATCACAAGTTTCAAAAGTCCAGAGTTAAGTACGAAGAGAGTACATAATTTATCAACTTGTATAATTGATGATAATCAGTGAGAAGTTGAACGAGACAAGAGAATTCTACACTGTTGCCAAATATGAAAACACATGACATGATATACATCTCTATTTTAGAGTCATTATCAATTGATTCAGAAAAATAATTAAAATTGAAAGATAATGACCTTACAAGGGGGGATTATTTTAATATGCACTCTCTAATCCCAATAGGAAAAAAAGCAAATGTGGGGAGGGTTAATCACATGGTTAGAGTGATGGACCACACATAATCATGATCAACTCCATTTAATTTTTAGATAAATCTCTGTTCTTGAAAATCCCGAGAAAATTAGCAAGATAAAAGTGATCTATTTATGCACTTTAATGAAATTCCACGTTAGCGTTACTTTAGCTATACGTTTGTGAAAACCAAGGAAAAAAGATAGAGAACTTTTTTGCAAATGCAACACAGGAAGAGAAAAAGGGTTTAAGAAGAATGTAAATAATACTTAGTTACTATGATAAAGTAGGAAAAGACACTAATGAATATTTAGCCATAAAAAAACTATTTACTCTTTTTTTTTGGAATAATTTTTCATTTTATTTGAATAACGATGATGTTTGCCTATGAAAATTTCAATTCGAAGTTGTGTTTCAAATTTGAAAATATTATTTGCAAAATGTATAACCAAATACAACTTCATCTTCAACTTAAACTCCATAAAGCGGAAAAAAGATTAAAATTTATGACTAAACAAACGCCTAGTAAGCTTGTTGGTTTCTCAACATTTTTTTCAAACGCCTACTAAGCTTATTACTGTACCTTGTTTTACTTTTTTGGTGGTCTTCTCCTGAAATTGCGTACCTCTGTTAGAGCTTTTTGAGAATTAACTACTATACTATAATACTTAAAAATTGGTACGTTTTATCTGCTCCCTTTTAGGCATTTCTTACCAATCCAAACCAAACAATTCCATTGGAACCGAAAAGACACCTACTTTTTACTTCTCTATATGTCGCAATAAAATAAGATAAAAGTAGCCAATGGGAAACATAATACCTAAAACAATTACTATATGGTTCATTGATGCTGTACTTTATGCCTTCATATTCTTATCAGTTTCTCTATTTGTGGGGTTGTCACATTTTCTTTTTTTACCAATTTAACAATGTATCAAGATCTGGAATCCAAAGAGACGTGTCCCAATAGACAGAAAACACTTAATAAGTGAGTGGATAAATATTTGAATGGGCGGACAAACCACAGTTTACACTTCAACCATGATAAATCAATTTTTTTGATAATATCTTACTACTTATAGATCACTTTTTGACACCATTAAAGTGATGTGTAAGCAGATATATCATATACTCATATGAGTGGAATTATTCCCTTAAATATCACGTCTTCACAAGTGTTCGACTGTTCTCCACATAAAGGATGACAGTACTGTAGGTTATTCAACAAAAATTGACTACTATCCTAGAAATAGACATCTTCAAGGTGATATCCCTACTTATGAGAAGTCATGTGCTTACATGGAATGTTTATCCAAAAAACGACATATCTTTAGGAAGACATCAAGAGAAACCAAATGGTGTTATAACCAAAAGTTATCAAAACACCCATTCGGTTGCTCAATTCAGTCAAATCATCAACCCATCGCTTGATTTGTTCAACAATATTTGGACCCATATCACAGGCATTCCTTCGAGTTCACATCACATTCGTTGACCTAAGGTATATGAACTGAAAGACTTAAGGCAGCTTATTTGCATGAAATGGTAAAGAATTCCTATATACATCCAATTTACCATAGTACATAGAATAGAGCAGCTTAAGCACAATTAACACTATGGTCAGAGGTACCATCAACCATGTAACCAACAAACGGGAATTGAGTTCACAGAGCATAGAGATAAAGACGGGTAGCAAGAAGATTTTAATACAAACGCCGAGGTGATCAACTCCTACTAGAAGAACAATTGTCTACACTGACCGACCTCAACCTCCGTTGGGCAGTAGGGACACTTGAAAGGCCGTGTGTTGTTATTCTTTGACAGTTTGGTAATAGATTGCTTGCATAACACATGCCCACAAGACATCAGCATAGGGGGATTCTCCTCAGATGCCTGATCCCGACTCACTGGACAGACAAAGATAGAGTGGAACTGAAATTCTCTGTCCAAGTCTACTGGCACGGGTAATTGTTTCATGGATTGCCATTCCTGCTTTTTCCCAGTCATCACATTCATCAGTTTCAGAAGGGTTGGCAATCCCTGGACGCCTGCTGCAATGGTCACACTCAACGGACTCTCATAAGATTGACCCATGAGATTGCAGAACTGCCGAGCAAGCTCTTCAGCCAATTTATCCCAGTGGAGAGGTGATAGTAAATCTGAGTAAGGTGAGGACTCCAGTTTCTCAGCCCACAATAGACAGGCCATGAGCCTCTGGATCTCTGCCAAATATTTGGTGGCAAAAGGTGGGAAGAAAGTTCTAGCATAGTTTAAAGCTCCATCTCTACCTCTTTTTTGCAGAATTTCTACAAACTGCTGCCTGTGTAGCTTCATTTCAATATCAGATCCAATCAGCTTAAGTTTCTCACTATTCGTGGTGGCCCAACTCAGAGCTGGCTCCAGGTTCCTAGATCTCATGGCTTCAAGTATTTGATACATTTGCAGAAAAGGAGATTTTTGGCCAGCAGCTTCAGATTCTCTGGCCTCATTCACGAAACAATCACCAAGATCAAAGTGGCCTTCCCGGTAGAAATGGCTGGCAATTATCTGGTTAACAGTATGGATATCAGAACCAACATTCCTGTAAGCCTTTGATATATCAGGATTGAGTGACTTCTCAAGGAGCTTCGGGTACTTGCTTAGTGCAACATTTAGTTCTTTTTGTGTTCCTTCCATCTGACTGAGTGGAGCAACTTCCTTCAACTTGGCTTTAAGTTCACTAAGAATCACTTTGTGTTCACTCAGAGATGCAGTATCATTAGCTGACTGTATTCTCAACAGTGCTTGTTCTATTTCATGACTGATCTGCTCTATCACTTCTTGAGACTTTGATGATGCAACCTTTTGCTTCTTTGTGACACGATCAAAGGCATCTTTAATGGTACTCAGCTCCATTTTCTAATTTCTCAAATTCCTGCTAGAATTTCTCGGTGTAAAATTGACAATCCCCTAGATGAAAAGGATACAATGTCATTATGCATGTACATATGGGCACAATAGTAGATAAGAAAAGGAAACGAAGAATCCATCGGTGCCTAACCACCAGACTTGACTGTGTGTGCTAGTGCCTGCAAAAAATATTTTTACTCCTAAGAACTACCTAACTTTAACTCATTGTGAAACACAAGATCCTAATTAGCTAAAGCTAAAAGAAAGTTTAAGATCCTTAAAGAACCGGAAGGTGACAGGATCATTAAAAGTTAGTAACTAATTAGACATGGAATATTTTAATTACTTCATTGTATACCTTTACCAGCTGCAAGTATTGTCTCAACAGTTGAGGAAACACACACACATCTCTCCCCTCACATAAAATATACCTTGCATCAATGCTTCAGTACTTCATAACCAAATATATCCTTTTCTTCAGCCCATCTTAACCGAAGCAAATAGACCAAAAGATAAGAAGTTGTTTGACTTATATATGATGCATAAGGAAAAGTTAACATAGTTGCTGGAGTTCAAATGTGAAGTTGTTGTTAACAAAGAAAAAACACTAGATTAAAGTTGCCAAATTTTGAAACCTGAGAAAAAAATATGGGAAATGTTAAGACAATGGTTTTTGAGCCTAAATCAACCACAAAAGTCAGGTTATGATATGAAGAATGTCCAAGAAATCACAAGAGACAACTCATTCTCTCAACTAATATGGGACTCTAATGCCCCCTGCACTCCTATGCTTGAACATATGGAGTGTGGACAAAATAAGGAGATAACAGCTTGGAGTGTGGACAACATAAGGAGATAACAGCCTGGAGTGTGGACAACATAAGGAGATAACAGCTCGTTCAAATGTTAGCATATCACGTGTATACATCTAGAGTCATGTATGTCTAGA